TTGGGGTTTTTTTTTTTTTTTTTTTTTTTTGCACCTGTTTTCCATTAGTGACACTACTTGATTTTTCCAAACACGAGTGTGTGTGATGTTAGTGTTAAGCTATCATAATAGCTGTTCAAAAGGGTTTTATTTAATCCTCAGCTTGTCTCTGTGATGCTTACATGAACTGAAATGTTAATAACTTGAATAACTGGATAACTTGAAATAACAAGACCATATCAATTATTTCTTTTGTAGTAAGCATGACAAGAAAGCAATTCCATTTGTACTGTTTAGGCAGCCCCAAGATATTTGTGTTTTGATGCTAGTGAACTTTAGAAGTAACATTTCTACTTTTTAATGTAGCTTAACTTTTTTTATTAAAATGAGGGATGTCTAGGTCTGAGGTAAGGGAAATCTCTAAGTGCTAAGAATAGGGCAATTTGTCTGAAACTTAAGTAGGACTTTGACATGGCACATCCTGTTATATTCACGTATTCTCTGGGGAGCAAGGCAGGTAGTGATTTCATATATAAAGTGGTGGGGTACGGCATGAAAAAATCAGTGGGTCCTAAAGCAGACAGTTGTCATTTTTAGGCAGAATTTTAATTAGACCCTTCAGAAGCCAGTGGAGGAGAATTCTCACAAACTAGATTAAGTGAAGGAACTTATGGGGAAGAAACTAGTATTCAGTTGTCTTGTAGTATTTAACAGTAAAAAGTACTTCAAGTTTGATAGCGTCTGAGATTTTAATGAGACTTTGGTAGCCTTTCCCTTCTGCCCCGGCTCTGGTGTTATCTGGCTTGAGAGTTCAGACTGCTTAGGGCAGGGTAGCTGTCTTGTCAGTCTGTAAAGTGCCGATGCATGTTTATGATGTAGTAAAATAGAGGAAACTCTAAACCATAGAATTGAGACTAGTGGATCAACATTTAAAATGTCTCGGGATACTGTCTCTTGACCGTGCATATGGATGGATATTGTGAAGAATAACGTACAGATGTTTAGAGCAGAACTGAAGTTCTCATTCCTTACCTTTTTAAAGAACCATGGAACAAGACCACATGGGATTATTTTTCATGACCATTTGACGATCAAGACCTTTATTACAACGCATTTAATTCTCTGTTTTGATTGTATTCTGTGTAATGTACAAATGTAGGAGCATGTGGTGTCTTTTTATTATTATTATTCTGTAGGTAGCACCGTTTCCAAATACTGGATTTATCAATGGGTTCACATCTCCAGCCTTCAAGCCAGCTGCTTCTCCATTGGCTTCCCTCAGACAATACCCTCCCAGAAACAGGCAAGTTTAATCACATTTTTAAAGCAATAAATTTTTAATATCAGGTCTCCACAGGTTATTCGAGCCTAAAAAGAAAAGAGAGCAAAATCAGTCAGCTTGAAAATCACTAAGTTAAATTTGATAAAAGACTAAATATTGCTGGAATGTTCCATTGTGTGTGGCTTTTTAATGCATACGTGTTACACATGGTAAATAGTCTGTCTGGTAGCTAAGAACTGGTCTGCTATCCACAGGACCAGAGAGATTGGCTTCCTCCCCTTCTGTGCCAAGGTCCTATAGAAAAATGACTGTTTTGTATAATGCAGATTATTACAACTTTTGGTCTGGGCTGGCGGTTGCTTCAGGAAAGATTCCAAAACGAACAGTCTCAGGATTCATCCCTGGCTGTGATTTACGTTTGCACAATGATGACAGTGATTCACAGATTTAGGCATGTGACATGTTTAAGCTTAAAATAGTTTTGATCAAGCCCCAGTTGAAAATAGAAATTCAGAGGTTCCATTTTGCTGCAAATAAATAGTTGACATAACTTTTCAAAAGGAAAGCTTTTTTAGTGGGAGTGATCTGTTGATAAGCATTTATGTAAGCATGTAACAAACAGCTGAGCAGTTCAATGCACAGACTAAAGCGTCACAAGATCTGTCATAAGTATACATTTTAAAATGAATATTACTTCTTCACTTTGCAGGAATCCTAGCAAATCACATATACGGCATACAATACCCAGTGCAGAAAGAGGACCTGGGCTTCTTGATAGTCCTACAATATTCAACTTTTCTGCTGATCGTCTAATAAATGGTGTCAGAAGTCCACAGACAAGGCAACCGGGACAAAACAGGACACGAATGCAAAATGCTGCTACAAGTTATACCAAGAGGGATATAGGAACCGGACGAATGGAACAGACTAATATTGACTCGTCCCCTGGTTTGGGTAGGGGAAGGTGAGTCCTTTTAGCTATTTATAGAACTACCTTACGGCATTGTCTGCTTCTGAATGTGTCTTGGTAGTCCCAAGAAATTCCTTTCAAAGAAAGCACAAATGCTACCTTCAGTGGGGTTTTTTGGGTTTAACCATTTTTTTTTTTGAGAAGAGGGGAGGAGAGAGAAGAGTGTGTTGGTTTTTTGGTTTAGGTTATTTTTGTTTTGTTTTTAATGGTTGCTGTGACTTTTTTCTCAATGAAACTAAAACTACAGTAAAGAAGTGAATACAGAAAGTGATGAACTTGGAACAAATCCAGAGGAAAACTTCAATTTTCTCTAAATTTGCTCATTTGTTTTAATAGTACATTAATGGTAAACAGTGATGGGTAGGTCCTGTGATTGTAAAAAAGTTGATTCTCTAATCTTTTTGACCTAGAAAAATATTTCATTTTAATTTTGGCTCAATCAAAATGATTTCTTCTAAAGTTATCTACCTAATGTTACGTGGCTTTTAATGTGCAGGACTGTGGACCTGGTTCAAAGTACTGTGGCTTTCTTAAATGGCTTGCTGAAAGCATCACTTTAGTGGCAGGTCTACTTATTGCATAGTCATATTTGCTAGTTATGTAACAGTTTTTTTCCTAGGTTTTTCATTATAGGCAGGTCACCTAAGTACATTCTAGTTAGCACATATAGTTAATTTCATTAGCTGAACCAACATCACCAGGTTCTCCATGCCCTTGTTCAAGTTGGCAAAGAAAATGGGATAGCAGAGCTGATTTGGGACTGCAGGATCTACTGTCGGGGAATAAGAGAAAAAAATCCAGCTTGAATTCTAGTTTCCAGATCCCCTTTTTCAGGCCTGGAATTGGAGAAGCCAAAACTGAGCAAATCTGAACAGGGAAGGAAGCTCCCAAAACACTAGACTTTATGTATTTAAAAAAAAAAACTTTCCAGGATTATTTCAGGGTAGCTTTCTTTCTGCCCCTATTTTAGCAGGGTTTTTGCATCTATAAACAACATGATTAGTAACTTTTAATGGGTTTTGCAGAAGTCATGAGTCAAATTTGTTAGCCTTAAAATAAAAATGAGAATTCAAATGAAAAAGCTACAAATCCCGTATGTTGATTTAACTTGTACTGTTGTATGCAGAGAAAAGTATTGGGAGGTGTGATGAGCTTGTCAACCTAGATACATTTCCTTTAAGAAAACATGATTTTTTAACAATGCAACAAAAAAACTACAACTGCTAAGTTGTTTAGTTGTAATGAGGCTTTTTTTTAATTTTGTCCCCATAATCTGTCTTTTAAAGCCGTGATATCATGCAGTATTCTGTTTTAAATGAGGATGAGTGTAATATCAATTCATCATTTTTTTTCTTTCAATTTCCTTCCTCCCTAGACACATTTTCTGATTGTTTTCTTTTCCTTAGGAAAAATTCATACGGTTATCGGAAGAAAAGGGAGGACAAGTTTACAGTAAGTTTTTTGTTTGTTTTTGTTTTTGTTTTTTTTAAATCATACCTAGTCTATAATTAAAACATAAATGAAATATGGGTAACAAGATAATGTCAGATTATCTGGAGTAAGTGACAGGGCTTTAACAAAATACTACACAAGAAAACATGCTTTTACTATTGTTAACTAAAGATATTAGTTTAATATTTTTTCAAAGGAAATGTCTCCTAAATGTACTAAATGAACTATATTATAGATAATAGACTGCTAAGGCAGAAGGCTGAGGAAAAAAATTAAAATGAGGATTTGAAAATGGTATGTAACTCCTCCCCACCATTAATTCTTACCAGTAATAATAGTAGTTTAGCGGAGTGCCCATACATCCTTTATCAGATAAGGTAAACACAAAGGTGTTTTAAAGTTCAGAAACTACTAACTTGATACTTGAAAATCAAAAAACTATTCAGCAATTAGTTTGTGCACTATAAATAAACTGGAACCCTTGTTAAAACAAGGCAGAATTCTTGTTATAAAACGATCAACTTCCATTGAAGAATGGAAGTGGAGAGGGATGAAATGAGGTGGATCTTTGGAGGGACCATCACAACAGAAGCACTAAGCTCTGTGGCTAAGATATAGTAGTGGCACCTTTCAGTGATAGAATATAAATCCAGTGCCCATCTGTAAAAACTTGAGCAAGGTTTTAATATTGAGGGACAACCCTATTAAAGGTTACCATAACTGCTGTTGTAGTTTGGAATATTATTCACTTAATAGGTCTCACTATTGAAAAAGAGTTTCATCTTTGAAAAGTCTGGTCTTACTGAATAGAAGGGGTTTTTTGTTTGTTTTGTAGCTCTACCTGTATAGGACCTGAGATTTTTTTGGGTCAATCTTAGACCCAACTACCTTTCCTTCAGTTTGCCTCACTCGCATGTCCCCATTTGGCCACTATTTCAACACAGTCATGTAGCATATGATGGCAAGGACTACTTCCTTCCCCATTACTTGTTGAGGACCTTCATTGAAAAAGTAGTACTTGTCACATAAGTTATGACCTTTTCAGTGTTCCTTGCACTATTACACTTGAGGCATTGATGCTTCTGTTGAATTCCAGTATATTCTAGATAGCAGTGTTTGCCTGGATCCCTCACAAGAACACGTAACAGGGGATCTGGTCTCACTGCCTTTGGTTCCTTTCTAATTGCTAACAGTCAGTGAGCTAACTGCACTTGGCATCCTTGCTGTTTTAGTTCTCCTGCCCTTTCAGAGGCTATTTCATTTTTAGTTAGGCAGCTTTGTCATGACAGGTTTCTTTAGCTCCTTTGTTTTCCTAGCTATATACATCAGACATGCAGGCATTACCCAAAGGGGGAAGGCTCCTCGGACCTCATTGGACTCTCCAGATTGTATGTATTTTACATTCAGCAGTTGTCAGAAGATAAAATACCGAAACTGTGCAGAGAGTCAGGGCCAGAATCCAGGACTGCCTTCTATCCTCCTAGCTGAGTACTAGGCTGTAGTAATGTATGCTCCCTGGTTCCCTTAATCTTGCATTCTTTGCACAGTAGTGGATAACTTCAGTGGAAAGATTGATTAAGGTACTCTTCTGCAAGGGTGACCCAGCTGGTAGGGTCTGAAACCCATTTCTGTTTCTGGGAGAGTGCTCTAAAGCTTAAACTTTTTCATTTAAAAAATGAAGAGCATCACTACCAGCCTAATCCTAAAAGGAGAGACTGCGCTCAGGTTTTCTTGGAAGAATATATGCAAGTGTTTCTTTGGGAGAGGATTTGGGATCTGGATCCCAAGTGGATAGAGGTACTGGTCAGCAGCTCTTAAGCAGTTCTGGAAAGGATCAAGATTTAAAACATGCCCCAGTCCTCTGTTCCCTATTGGCTAGCTCCGTTCAGTATGTGGACATCTTGGATTTGCCACTCCAAGGCACTTAATTGCTCCTAATCACTTCATAGACATCTGTATCGCCTAATTCTGGCTTCTGGATTCCTATCCGAGGGCCAGGTCCAAATATTAGATGTTGTGCTACCTGCATTGTCAGTGGGTCAGTCCTTTTGTTGCATGTAGGTTTAACTCTGTCATTAACACTTGCACTGGCTTTTGGCCACGAAACCCCAGTAGGACTCGGAGCCTTTGTCAGCTCCAAAGCCCTCGTGTACCTACTCTATTAGAGATTTCTGAATGAGTATCTTTGTACTAACATCTTCCCATCAGTTCTTATATTCACATTGAGGTAATTGCATTACCCAGGTCTCATTCTGTAATGCACCACTTATTTGTGAAAATGGTTAAAACTTTAGATCTGGTGCCTCCAGCTTGAAACAGCCCAACACTCTTTTTGTTTGGAGATTTGTTTTCAGTTACTAGTGTCGGTGCTTTGTTTCTGAAGAAAGGCCACAAAGAATGCTTTTTGAAATAGTCATCCACTAATACTGAGACACAAGATTTATTTCACTGTTTTGTATGTGCAGTCAAGTGCATTTTGGTATCTGCCAAACTTCCAGAGAGGAATATTTTAAATAAGTACATTTAAAAAAAAAAAAACAACTATCTGACCAGTACTAGGGCTACATAGTTTTGGCAGTATTGCTCTCATTTCTGTTTGTATTGGGCCCTTTTACTGCATCTCTGCCTTGGTGCTGAAATACTGGTACTAGAGATCCAGGATGGTCTTGTGCTGCTTTCATCTGCTTTATGATCTTGCCACGATACTGTGTTTTCATGGGATAAACTTCAGCTCTGTTGCATTGTCAGAGCCACAAGTTCCACATATGCTTGCTTTCTAAGGTAAACATATATGCTGGAATCCAGACTTAATTTGTCTTGGATGTCAGATCATTTATGTTTGTATCTAAACTGTAATCCACACATCTAGTTTGTAAACAGTTTACTTGGTACCTATATTCATGATATATCTGTGGCTTCTGTAAGGCAGGTAACAAAGGAGACATTTACTTGATACTTCGAGCAGAGCCTTTTACATCATGGGTCATTTGAGTTGCATTTAAGCAAAGGTAACTCATGCCTATCAGGAAATTCCTATGTCCTATGAGGGACATTACCAAATCATTGACTTGGATATCAACCTTGTTTTCGATTATTCAAGGATGGCAAAAATCTATGGAAGATGAAAGCTCAATGTCAGATTTCTAGAATTGAAAGCTGTTGTCTAAGCTTTCGTCTTTTGATCAATACTAGATTTCTGTCCCAAAGACACTATCCTCTGGCAAACTTATTGAACTTTTTTTCTTTTTTGGAAGAGCATAAGTATCCGTTGGGTCTGAAGCTGGCAGTTTGTTATGCAAAGGAGTAAATATCAGATCTATCTCTACTACAAAAGAGCTCCCCTTGTCACCACCTCTGCTTCTGGATCAGACAAAGTAACTGTTTGCAAATTTCCCATTCTTGACCTTGAATTAGGAATTCACCTGATGTCTTATTCTGTTAGTTGCGATGTCTGCCAATTGGGTCAAATAGTCTACTGAAAACACCAGCTCTTAATAGGATGTTGGCAACTCGTTCTTCTAACATCTGAAGTCTTGTTAACATTTCTTTCTAACTTATATTTTTTGTTGTCAGCTTTGTAGTAGGTGTTTCTACTAGGGTTGGCAAGCCAGTCAGTTGACTGGTTAAAATATTCATAGATTGTAAGGCTGGAAGGGACCTCGGAAAATCATCAGGTCCAGCCGCCTGCACTAAGCAAGAAAGACAGCTGGGGTCAGGTGACCCCAGCAAGGTGACTGTCCAGTCTCCTCTTGAAGATTTTCAGGGTAGGTGATTGCACCACCTCTGGAGGGAGCTTATTCCACAGTCTGGACATGCTCAGTGTGAAGTTTTTCCTATATTTAAGCCTGAAACGGTCTTCCAGGAGTTTGTGGTCATTACTCCTGGCTTTCCACAAGGGTATCCTGGTGAACAGTTGTTTGCGAAGCCCTTGAAGTACTCCCCTGCTGTAGCGGTAAGTTGCTACCAAGTCCCTTCTCCGCCTTCTCTTTTTCAGGCCAAAGAGTCCCAGGTCCCTCAGCCTTTCCTCGTATGGCTTGCCGTGCAAGTCTCTGATCATACGGGTGGCTCTTCTCTGGACTCTCAATTTTTACCATGTCCTTGTTAAAATGTGACGCCTAGAACTGAATGCAGTACTCCAATTGGGGTCTCACCAATGCCAAGTAGAGCAGAAGAATCACTTCCTTGGTTTTGCTGGAAATGCATCAATTGATGCATGCCAGAATATTATTTGCTCTGCCGGCAACAGCGTCGCACTGCTGGCTCATATTCATACTGTGGTCTGTTATTACCCCAAAGTCCCTTTCATTCATAGTGCTGGTCAGTTTGACGCCGCCAAGCATGTAGGTGTGTAGGGGCCTGTTCATCCCCAAGTGGAGCACTTTACATTTCTCAGTGTTGAACTTCATCTGGTTCTGACTTGCCCTACTTGCCAGCCTGTCTAGGTCCCCCTGTATCTTTGTGTGACCACGCCTCCCCAAAACGTGGTGTCATTTGTGAACTTGGCCAGTGCGCTCTTCACCCCCACATCCAAATCATTGCTAAAGATGTTGAAACGTACTGGATCAAGGACCAACCCCTGTGGGACACCACTGGCCTCTTCTCACCAGGATGATAGATCTGTTCATTAGGACTCGGTGTCCTATCCCACAGCCAGCTTTGTTACCCACCTAACTGTCTCACAGTTAAGTCCACAATCCTCCAATTTTTTCACGAGAACATAGTGGGATACCAGATCAAAGGCTTTTTGGAAGTCAAGGTATACAGTGTCAACATCTTCTCTTATTCAGTTGGCAAGTTTCCTGATTGTAAAAGGAAATGAGGTTGGTAAGACAAGACCTGCCCACGACGAAGCCATGCTGGGTGTCGTTCAGAATCCTACCTTCTGCAAGCCTGTTGCACATAGACTCCCTTATGAATTTTTCCAGGATTTTTCCTTGGGATAGAAGTTAGGCTAATTGGTCTATAGTTATCCGGATCCTCCTTCCTCCCATTCTTGAAGGTGGGCATAACATTGGCCCTCTGCCAGTCCTCAGGGACCTCTCCAGAGCACCATGAATTTTGGAACAGTTTTTGCCAGGGGCTTCTCAATGACTTCAGCCAGCTCCTTCAGCACTCGTGGGTAGAGTTCATCCAGTCCTGCTGTCTTGTATATGTCTAATTTCTTTAATTAATCACACACCAGTTCTATGGCAACAGTAGGAAGGTAGTCTTTCCTGCCCTGCTCATTCTGTACCCTGTGTGGCATGATTTTCCCCTTGGCCTGGTGAAATACCGCAGCAACGTAGTCATTCAGGAGTTCAGCTTTCTCCTGAGTGTCGGTAACCAGCTCTCCTGAGTTATTGGGCAATGGCTCCATACTCTCATTTGTTTTTCCTCCTGCTCCCTACATACCTAAAGAAGGACTTATTGTTAACTGACTATATTTTTTTTGACTGGCCAAAGATTATCGTAATTTTATGGGGGGGGGGACTGCATTTTTTTGTAGTTTTCTTGACAGAAATACTATTTTTTTTTTATTGTTTGACACATTTCTTAATGGAAAACTTGTGCTTTTTCTGTGTATTATTTGGACATATTGGCAACTTTTGTTTATAATTTTATTCCTATTTTTAACCAGTCAACTGACCAAACTTTATCTGACCAGTCAAATACCCAACCCTGCTCTCTACCCAAACCTGATTCATCTTGGGTTAGCCTTTCCAGAAGTCAAGTAGCTCACATACTTGGTGAGAGTGTTCTTGGGAACTCGGATAGATCTAGTGAAAAACAATTACTGTCTATTGCTGTAAACTTTGAGAGAGTTCAAGTTTTGTCAGGGTTGTAATTTTTTTTTTATCCTCAATTCGAGCTCTCCACTAGCAATTGCTTTATGTTCATAGTTGTGCTAAGGAAATCTTGGTCTCTAACTTTCCTAGTTAGGAGCCAACTGTAGTATGCCTCTCTTCATTATAAAGCATCTACTTCAAGTTTTGGGGTCTCTTTCCCTTTACCTTGCTTCAGGGTAGGATATTGAGAGGCTTTGACTTTTAGGACTTTGGTGTGTGCCCCATATACACCAGCTGCTTAGGACCCTGCAGCTCAGTCTGTTTGAGGCAGCTCTGTTTCTCTCTGAAGCTCCTGTGAACAATCATAGTGAGTAGCAACACTCCTGAAACATTTTTATTTAGCAAGTAGAAGAAGGCATTCGAGAAGAGGGTTTTAGTTTGTTGGGGGTTTTTTGTTTTTTGGTGGCAGTTGGGGTGGGTTTTTTTTTTTTAAACAACTAACCTATATGTTTTGTATCT